ACAGGTATTACACTTTCGCTGAGGAGAGTCATGGATATGCTTCGTCTCTGGGAGACCTCAATAATCAGAGCACTCTTGAAGCCGTCAATCAGACCATCACTCTGGCATCGGCCTTCTTTATTGAGAACCTCAAGGAAGAAGAGGCACAGGATGCTGTGGAGGACGAGGTGTCTAACAATGACGTTCAGACTCACTAGTCTCCCACTACTTAACAATCAAAAGAGAAATGCCGATTTTTTATCCTTTAGCATCTCCCTTTGTCTCCTTCCCTTCCTACTTCCACGCCTCTCTCTAATCTCCCTCCTTACTTTTTGCCACTGACTGTTTGCCTGTGTGTCTATGTATGCTTGGAAATTTAAAACTCTGTAGTTACAATACAATTGATGTCAAGTTTGAGTTTTTCCCTCTGGACAAGTCGGGAACAAACACTTGGCCCTGGCAATTGGCAAGTGAGTGGTGCACTCCCTCTAACTTATCGTGCGCGCTGATTTTCTTGATACCGTTGAACGTGTTGTCATTGCAAGAGATTTGCTGTGTTGGAATAATCAAATGACACGCCAGACGTGACACCTCACACTGGTCCCAAGGTGCAACGTTAGTAAATGAGATGCATCCGTCACACCTCTGTGGTTCGACCGGTGTGGGTGGAGTTTCGTCTGTCCTTTCGACTCAAGTGGCCGTTTGTCGGCTGTCATCGCTACTTACGTTTTCCAGTAGGTGAAGTGGTTAAGACGTGGTAGACAAGAGGCTGGCAGTAAGTTTTAAAAGGTGTTTAGTGTCTCTTCATCTCTATCCCAAAAAAAGAAGTGACTTCGCCAGTCAAAGTGGTGTAAGTTTGGGGCTACGCTCCACCACACTGCGAAATTTCAGCCTCCGTGTTGTTTCGAGTCCCCTTGCAGACCTGATTGCGTTGTTAACAGCATTGTGACTGTTCGACCTTTCACCTTTGCTGGTGTTATTGCTGCGGTTTTACTGTCAAAATGGCGCTGCGGTAGGTGGCACGACACGACGAACTCAACAGCCTCGGGATTTTGGGATTTGACACCTCGACATTGCCAAATGCACGCCATGACACGCCATTCCATAACGCTTGTTCAAACCTACATTTCTGTTCCCTGTTCTCCGTTAAAATTCAGTTTTGACGTGTGACAGGCTGTTTTAGAGGTATTCAGCCCCATTCTCTTCTGTGCAAAAGTTGATGTGAAATGAAAAATCAAGTCTGTCGAGACTTCTGGCAAGAGTTATTGTCCTGCCATTGTTTCCAACTGAATGGAAGTGTCATGCGTCGCGTGCATGTGGAAGTGCAGATGATCAGCCACCACATGAACTGCCTACTCGACTGCCAACTGAAGTTGGAGGTCATGCGGTAGAATGAAATCTCGAGTTGTATGAGCATCTCGGTTGCATCATCATGTGCAAATTTTGTGCCTGTTGTGTATTTCAGGCACCGTCTAGGCCCGTCGTCACAGCTTTTGATGGGGCCAAAACACCCTCCGGTTTGCACAGAGGGGAATTACAAGATAGATTTACTGGATCCCACGCCGCCAACAGCCTTGGGGGCGGAGTCGCTATTATTTCCACTGGCTAATCTGATGCTTTTGCTCTCCTTTCTCCACTTGTTCGTGAGTCTCCATTAATGAAGGCGCAGGCTATACAATTCTGCAAGTGGAGGATTGTGGAGATAGTGTAGAAGAAATTGTCTATTTTGGAAAGGGTTGGACGCTTTGCATCCTGCCTGTTGTGAAGGTGCTTTTGGGACTTTTGTAAACTCCTTAACTCGCCATAATGATGGTTTTTTAAACCTAGGCCAAACTTATTTTTATCATAGAGACAGGTTTAGACACAGAAAATCCTTTTTAAGCAGAAAATATTTGCACTGATTTGGCACTCTTTGCACAGCAATTTGTTCGCACTGCCCGGAAGCAAACAAACAGTGCAAACCAAACAGTGCACCGAGTTCACCCGCATGACATGTAAAGTCACCTTTTATGCTTGTCAGGCGACAGCAGTGTGACATTGCGGTTAAAAGGTGAAACATGTGCTTATTGTCATACTACTTATAAAGCTACTTAGTTCATTATTATAGTAGCTGTAGTAGCACACTCACAGTTAAAATATTGTCACTCTCTACTCATTGCCGTGCCTTCAACTAGAAATCAGCACCATAGGGCTGAAGTGGAACCGAATTACCCAGCGTGGGTAGCGTGTTCCAATTAAGTTCAGGCGTCTACACTGCTTCGACTCTTAGCCGTAAGCAGCGATGTTGGTGACTGCAAACTTATTTCTGCGTATCTTCCACCTAACCTAAAAAATGACTAGTATGGACTGAATGGAATAGAGTCGTTTGAGGTTCTCCAAATCGAGCTTACTACACTACATGATCAGTATTCGTTTGTTGTACTACCTATGTTGTCACTATCAGGGCAAGTAATGACACTAATTTGCAAATGGAATATTTTCAAGTGTACATCAAAGGCAATATGGCCTATAAATCATCATTGAATCTGTCATACATTACGCCCAATGCCGCAGGCTTCTCTATTCGCAGTAGAGAGCATTTGATATTGCCGGATGCTTGTGTTCAGGAAGGAGAGAAGGACGTGGGGCCTTAACGTGATACGAAGTTCCGTCCATCCAACCAAAAAGGACGAAGAACACCAACGTGGCCACCAGTCATGCAGTCGAATAAACGAAGCCATTTATTATGCGTTTTAGGAAGTGAGTGCGTGTTCAAGTAATGAAGTTATAGTACTAGAGGTGTCAATCACTGGTCCTAAACCTAAATAAAGTCTATTTACATCGAGAAGGCTCAGTTCTATGCTTGATGGAATAGGACCTTTGAATATGTTAGCAGTGAAATGTGTCCTTTAAAAAACGCATGAGCAACGCTTTTACTTATGTGCGCGAATTTATATGCTGTTAGAAAATCAGACAATAGAATAAAAAAAACGAGGAACATAGGTCACTGAGGGACCAGAGTCAATAAGGAGGGGCAACAGCAAATTTTAAATGCATAACAAGATGGATTAAGCCAAAAAATCACAGATGGCCTAAGTAACAAAATGCACAATGGATAAGAAATTCCTTCAAATGCAACCAAACCTCAATAATTAAAGTATTTACTTTTTATTTAAATTTCGGTAACGCAGTATAGCTAGGCGTTGATATTTCCTTCGACATATGGACCGGCATCCAAGCCATATCAAGAGTCCAGACCTGCAAAACTATGAGGCATAGGAACTAGATCATACTAAAGGCGAAAAAAATTGTTTTTGAAACTTTTGCTGCATCTATATGCCCTACTGTTTGCAAAAAATCAAAATGTCACAAATAAACTTGGGAAACCTGCATGTCTGCAATATTTTGACAATGTGGTTTCGCGCATCAAGAGCAGTCCCTTAAGCATCTGCTTTGGTTTTGTATCATGACCTAGGTTTTAGGCAAGGCCGTTCCTTTGCTTTTACCTTTCCGCATGTAAAAATTCTACCACGTTCTGTGACTTTCACTATTGAACAAAGAACCTCAAAAGCTCACACTGTTGTGCTTTTAAAAGCGTACACAAAAAATTGAATTCTTTAATTCTAATAATCTCTATATATTAAACACCTTTTGATTGTGCGAGGACAATGCTGAAAATATTCAAGTAACCTAAGGGGTACCCGCCTAACCTAACTTAGTTGCATCCTTGCTATTGTCCATCGGCGTTCATTTGACGGGTACATTTTCGCTTGAGTGATAGAATCGTGCTGGATGTTAAGTTTCGTCTTATCTTCACGCTTGTCTTTTTTACTCTGGGTGCAGCCATAAGTGTTTTGGTCCAGCTAACAAAATTATCAATGTTTCAAATCCTCATATTTGCACAATAAGTATTACATTTCATTGGTAGACTTGCCTCTTCCTTTCTGCATACCATGGATATTGTTACCTTCTTTGGTTACCGTGGGGCAGAACAACATCCTTAGAGGTTTTCCACCGCAAGTTTTTCCTTAAAATAGCTTAGTTACTTTTGTACTGAATAAGGTGGTACTGCCGCGAAGCATGCTTATGCTACCTGCTCTAATATCAAGACCAGCTGAAATATTGGGTTTTATTCGAGTTTGCTGGCGTGGAGTTATATATTTTTCATTTCGTTAAAGTCCGCCTAGACTGAGGAATATTGAGCAACGACTGTTATTTCTTGTTTCTTATCTGTAAAATTTCCCTTCCTCTTGAAACCCAGTTAATCTATAACGCCTAACACCCACGTTGACACTCACTGCCAACATATTTGGCAAGAGTGTTTTTCACCTTTCTAACAATTCACTGCATCTGGCACAAGCAGAATTATCATGACCGTCATGTTTTGTTTTGCATAATCTGTAAACGGTGAACTAAGTAATTGGTGCGACTCAGTCGCTATCTTCTACATAGATCAAAGGCAACCACCTTCCTTGCAAACAAATCTGTGTTACTCTGCTTCACTTCTGCACTACTTTGCCTAAAATTACGTGGATATATATGGGAATGAATAGTGCATAGTTTCTTTTTCTTTGTCGCTCATTGTTACTATGACTTTGGTAAATAGTTGAACTTTCAGATTCTACTTCTTAGATAATGTCCACTGATTTTGTGGAGCTTGAGGAACGGAAGCGCGTATTTAAGTTCTACAAACTCTTTCCTGATGAACCAAAATATTTGGAAAAACTGGAGGCAGCTCTCAGTTCTTTCGTCACCACCATAACACTAAACAGTAACCTCTTTAAATAAAAAATCGCTTTTTAGATGAAAGCAATCCCTTCTTGAGATCGTCCTTTGTTCTGCAGTACAATTTCGCAGAGGAATTTTTTCTTCTTCGGTCTGCTATTTCCGAATCTACTTTTCTGCCCCTTTACGAAGAGTCACTTTTTGAGTGGCCACTTGCTTCCATCGCGCGAAACAACCTCCTGTCACAAATCGATTCTGATCTATGGATAAGATCCTTTTCTGACTTTTCGAACTCGAGCATAATCGCCCATATCTTGGAAAAGTTGCGTTGGGTCACTCTTGGATACCACTACGATTGGGATAACAAAATATATCCTCCTGGTTGTCAATCACAATTCCCAACAAAATGGAGAGATTTTTTCAAATCAATAGCACTGACAGTATCCGAAGTAGTTGGCGATAGACAGAGTCTACTTACCACAAGATCCTTCTACGAGAACTTTCGTCCTGAGGCGTCAATTGTGAACTACTACCGTAAAAAGACTACTATGGGTTTTCATATTGATAACTCTGAGGTATGCAAGCGTGCACCACTAATATCAATCAGGTAAGCTTACTTTGACGCTAGAATTGGCAGGAAATAGCCTTGGTCGTCCTGGAATATTTCTTTTGGAAACCTCAACATATATTCCGGGGTTTCTACCTCATGGAAATATCGGTAATGTACCGAAGACTATAGTGCCCATTCTCCTACAGCACGGCGATGTTTTGGTAACTGGAGGTAATAGCAGACTGGCTTATCATGCTGTTCCTCGTTTATTATCATGGTGGAATCCTTCCCAATGTATATCGCAGGATTTCTTCCCATGCCTTCTCTCTGCTTTCAAAAAGCGGTTTGACGAAGATGGAAATCGCGAAAACCTAGAGAATTACATCCTTACCACCCGATTGAACATGAATGTCAGACAGGTTAACGAATAATATAGTGGTCTTTTGTCTTGTGTATCTGTGAACAATAATAAACTTATCTACAAGCCATCAGTGGTGGTTTCTCCACATTCACAGAGCTGTAGGATGCGTTTTTCATAATCAGCCATTTCGTGAGCTGCTCTTTCAAACTGGGATTCACCCCAATCCTCAAATGTCAGACCTGATACGATTCTGGGATTTCTCCTGGGTTCTGGGACAATGACCGGATATCCAGAGAAAAAACTCACCGGCGCGCCATATTCACCGTCGCTACGTACCACCATTGACGTCCAGTTCTAGTGTATGGTTCTGGTAAGAGGACATTCCCTACCTCATCTGTTCCAAACCAAAGGTCGTTGACATGATCAATAACGGCTTTAGCTTTCAAAATGGCGATTGACTCTGCAGAAACACACTCAGAACTCCTACTCTGAACATATGGCTGGAGTATGTGCTTCATCCAGTGTTCATCGTTGAGCAACTCTGTTGCAGGTTTGAATGTACCATTTTCCATTCGTACTGTGGAATGAGTAATGTCGACGAAAGCGCTAGATCCTGCATTTCCCCAGATGAGGACATTTTTAACAGCGTCTATCGGTACGTTAAGTTTATTGGCGACCTATGTTAAATTGTTTCTGACATTAGCCTTTACTTGGAATGCTGCACGGTTTTGGTCCATCCGTATTAAGCCTGTTATGCAGGATGTGGGTAAAGATGGGATGTATTTACTCAAAACGTAGGCGTTTGTGTTAACTGGGTCACCGGTGACTATGATTTTGGTTGATTGCTTGCCGTACTTGTCGAGATATTCACCATGACGTCTGTAAACCTGCCAGCATTGTTTTAGCCTCTCGTTTTTGTGAGCATAGGTAACTGCCTCGATTGTGTCTAATAAGATAGCCACATCGACATTCTCGAATGCTTGATCTGGATTATTGGTCGCAAAAATACCTTCTAAGGGTTCTAACGCACTATCTAAGGCCCCATTAACGAGCGTCTGTAATTGCGAATCCTGAGCAAACGGGTCGTAGAGAGTAATCACGACAGGTTGATCCTCTCCAAACATCTTCCCCTGACCTATGAAGAGGACCAAGTCATAGGCCTCTGGCCGAGTTGGAGCTGTTATTAGAACTTTGACAGCATCAACCTAAGTAAGAAATTTAACATCAGTTGTATTTGCGTACCATCGGAGTCGAAGCTAGGTAACCTAGGGATAGTATTTGTTGGCGCACTAAAACACCGTGTCGGTATTTTTTGTTTTTCGACCAAGAACGGTTCTCACATCTGTAAAAAACAACCAAATATATAGGGTATTTAATTGACTTTGAATGAACCACGCTAATGCTCAAATACTCTTCCCTCAGCTTCTTACAAAAATTGAGGAATTAAGAAGCGACTATTTAATAGGGGTGCAGAGAAAGCGGCAGTTATAATGTCTTGAGACTTTTCACTAGCCGAAGAAACAATAAATGGAGGTGAATATTGTAGCGTCCTGAGGCTTCCAATGGGTAGTAGAAGGCATAAGTGGGGTTGAATACATGTATTCCGAAAGCATTAGGAGAAATGGGGCCTGAGCGCGACCCGAAGGCCAGCCCACGTGTACAGAGCCCAGACAAGTTCTAAAGTGACCGCCAAACGTCAGATAGTCGCATAAACAAAGCATTACACTGCCCCTCTCTTCTTTTGAGCGACGTCCTCGGCGCT